GAACGAGAGAGAGCAAGAGAGCGAGAGCACGAGAGAGCATGAGAGAGAGCGCATGCGAGAGAGAGTGCATGAGAGAGAGCGAGAGCATTAGAGAGAGCATGCGAGAGAGAGTGATAGAGTGGGAGAGTGAGCATGAGAGAGAGCAAGAGTGTGAGCGAGAGAGAGCAAGAGCGAACGAGGGAGAGAAAGAAAGAGAGTCTTCCAGGCTTATAGATATGAGACTGCAATGAATTAGGGTTTAAAACTGAGAAAATATTTGTTTAAGACTGTACTTTAGTTGGATTATTCTTTCTCGACTCATTTTATGTCACTAAATTAAACTTCTGTTTGTTTGTAGGCTTTGAGACCAACATCTTTACGGTTAAGACTATTAAGAAATTGTTACTGGAGCTGCAGCTGCCATTCAATAAAAGTGGGTGAAATCAATATATTAGTTGATGGTTTTCTAGATTAGTGGTGCCCATTAAGATATTATGATGATAAAAATGTCATTATATTAAAAAAAGACATCTTAGTCAAACATAAAAAGTTTGGTGGCTTCAGATAAACTGTTTGTGGTGTTAAAATATCCAATCAGGTGCTGCTGCACCATGAGACGGTAGTTAAAATAGTTAAACAAAATTATCATAAAAACCCACATCCTGGTTCATCCTCTTTGTGTCCTGCAACTAATTATGACAAAAATAGCTCCATAAGGATGTGAACAAAAACACATGGTGCAACAAATCTCAACATGAAAGGAATAAAAAATAAAGCAAATCAAGGTAAAAAAAATTAGAAGGCTGCACAAATGCCTGTCTAAAAAGATGAGTCTTCAGCCGTTTCCCAATTCATTCTTTATGCCTCTTCAGCTGTTTCATAAATGCAAGCTTTTTAGGTTTGTGGTAAGGGTTCACTGATTGCAGTTTTCTGGCCGATCATCGATTTCTAAAAAGTCTGACCTGCAGATTCCGATTTTGGCCGATACTGATTTTGTTTTATAAACGACACTGTCAGGAGTTATAAGGCCACAATGCACCTGCAATTTTCCAATATTATTTTGTTGAAAAACATACCCTTGAACAATATCCTAGAAACAATACAAAGCTGAAATATGCAAAAACAACAAAAACTGCTGAAAAGCAACTAAAAGGCAAAAAGACAAAACAGCTGAAAGTAGCTGAAAAAAGTTTAAATTTCCACAAGGAAGCTGACAGAAGCTGAACAAAATGTGAAAGGAGCAGTAAAAGGCTGTAAACAGAGCTAAACATTTGAAGGATGTAAAAATGAGCTCAATTCATTTTCTATGAAGGAAAAAAACGGCAGAAAAGGCTAAATATTTCAAAAAGCTAAAGTTGCACCAGTACCAAAAGTCATAGCAGGATTGTCCTGAAAGAGCTGAATGTTTAGGTTTATGATTTGATGAAATGGCACAAAAATTGTGGAATGAGAAAGATGCTGAAAAACGTACAGAAGAAAAATGGATCACAATAGAGTGAACATAAGCGTTCACACAGTAAAAGGTAACTCTGAGTGTTTCCCTCAGTACCAGCAGCAAAAAGAACTGCTCTCCCTTGCCTCACATCTATGATGGACGCTGCCTCCAGAAGTGATTTGATGATTTTTTACAGCCTTCAGAAACTGTGAGGATCCCCCCATGCAACAAAAATGGCCTCTCCCTGCAGAAAATGAACTGGAATGCGTTGCACGCAAATGCTAAATAATACGGTGTTGAATTACGCGATGAAAACAGGTCTCTCTGCATCCGGCCGTCGGTCCCACCCATCTCAGGCGTCCATTAACAGCCTGATCTATCTTTCCATCTGGCCTTCACCCAGAAAGTGAGCTGTAGGGCTAACAACGCAGCTCTGGTCCAGTTCTCAGGTGTCAGCTCTATTGAATTGAAACCAGGAGGGACGGGATAATGTAGCATGTAACGCTTCCCCCACAACCCTCGTCGCCGTTTGAACTCGCATCCGTCTGACTGGTGAGACAACAGGTGGGGGATATAAAAGATCAGGATCATTCATTCTGTGTTGACTTGTACACACATCCTGTTTGTTTGCCCATCTCAATTTCAGTGAGTGGTATCGATCTGTAGCTCCGTGAAGCGCCGGGTCTCGTCTAACGGAGACCCAGACGTGCCCCTGTAATGGGATGGAAGGCGCAGAAGCGAAGTGAGCTCTGGTTGTAGGAAACACCTTTAGTGTCACTGAGATCGCCACTTGCCCAATAAAAAAGGTAGCTTTTAGAGGGAGACAATAAAATGACAGAAATCGCCCCCACTTCACTCCTTGTTGAATCTTCGTCGCAAGCGTTGCCACGACAACCCTTTGGACAGCGACCCTCCTGAGACGAGGAGTTTATTCCTTGGTCAAAGGTCAGCAAAGGGTAATTTGTTCTCAGAGGAAGCCTTCATAACACCATCCGCCTAATAAGATTATTACTGATTGTATTATTTTACTTGAGATCGATTCAGTCTTTTTGCTACAGTAAATTAGCAAACTTTCAATCAACATGTACATAAAGTAATTCAATGGTTAAAGCTTTTCCAGGCTAAAACAAATTTAAAAAAAAATTAAAAAGCAGACACTGAGCCCCATTTGGCCTGAAAACTGTAGGCTTTCTTTGCCTGTTAGCAAAATATCTAATGAACCACAGGATGGATTTTAATTAAACTCTTGGAAATAAAATATTGCGTGTACATTACAACTTTTCAGCCTTTTGAGTCAATCAATTTCAAGATGGCCACCACAGCTAACTAACCATAGCAAACATAGCCATCATTCGGTCATTTTTACAGATACTGAACAAAACTTTGTTGTGGTAGTAGCTGAGACTGATCAGCAACTTGTTTTTGAGTGAAAACTGATTGCACATGATCCGTGTTTAAAAGTTGAAAAAACTGGTTAGAGTCAATTCTGCATGTTAGCAAAATATCCCATGAACCACTGGATGGATTTTAATGAAACTCTTGGAAAGTAGTCATTGGCTGTATGTCAACAATCAAAAATAGTACATTTTCTTTATGATGGCTTTACACAATATCCAAAGTAACTATAAACGGTCGCCACAGCCAAGTGTTCATAAGAAACACAAAGATGGTTCTATGTTATTTTTAGACGTATTTTTCTAAAAGTCGGTGTGGTAGTAACAGAGTCATTCACAACACATAATCCAAGTGCTACTCATTGTGCAAGAGCTAACGCTGATGGTTTGTTATGAAAATATCTTGTGAAACACTTGGACTGGATTTTTACGAAACACTCAAAGTAGTTAGATGGTATTCATAACAATATAAACTGACTGAATGGTTGTCAAGGGTTCCCCCACTAACCACTGGTCCATCTAGAAGTCCTTTTGATGGGTTAAATGGTTCTTGTGTCAGAGTCAGCAGCAAAACTGTTTGACGCCATTTGACTGTTCCATGGTGGTTCTGATGAAGCTGCGGTGCTACATCGGCCAAGTTAATTCCCAGGCCAGGAAGCCAGTAGACGTCCAACTCGGTGGGCAACCTGACCTCCTGACTTATTAAGCGCTACCACTCGACAGCAGGTAAACAGAAATCACAACAAGCACAAATATTTCTGTACTTCTCGCAATGCAATCCACCACCATGAGATACTATATGGCTAATTCAGGCAAATGACCATTTACTTCAGAGTTATTTAGATGCTATCAGTGGCTCAGGTCTTTGTGCTTTGGGGATTAGCGCCACCATGCTCGGTGTTGAAAGGCGCCTTTGTGGCTGTAGTCTTTAGCGGGATGGGAGAGACGCTCAGATGCCTGCATGGAGGGGTGTCAGTTATCAGGCATCCCGCAATGCCCTGCTAATCTCTGGCCCTGCAGAGTTCCTGAACTCCAGCCAGCACGTCCAACGCCAGGCTCTAGAGTTCCCTCAAATCGGAGGGACAATGATGGGTATTCACAGAGGGAGCCACTGGACCGACAAGCTCCTCTCCTTGAGTGAACGGCGTAAGAGCAGAAGGAAAGCTCA